ATTTCTTATGTTAAACTTTTGAGTATATACTAATTCAGAAGTCAAACAACAAAAATCAGCGTTATATTTAAAAAATTTTCACAGGACTAGTTTCGATGGTTTTACCGAACCATCATCTTCAGCTGCAAAACCGCAAATTGCAAAACCGCAAATCATTTGCTGTTTTGCAGCTGAAGATGATGGTTCGGTAAAACCATCGAAACTAGTCCTGTGAAAATTTTTTAAATATAACGCTGATTTTTGTTGTTTGACTTCTGAATTAGTATTTATTCGGCGTGTTATTGTGTCTTAATTTTGAGTATATGTTTAATTTAACATAAACGTTTGAGTATATGATAAATTAGTGTAAATTATTTTACTCGAAAAATATAGTGAATGCACAGAACTTAAGGATTTGCACATGCCTGAAATGAAAAATATGAAATTTGTATGGGTATTTATGCATGTACTTGCAAAAAGCATGTATCTGCCTTTAACAAAATACGTAAATAGTTATTAAATTATTTATAAATGTGTTTGAAATGAAGGATTTATTAATTCATAAGCAAGTGAAAGTACTGTGAAGAAATCTAATTATTAAATGCATCTAATTTTATAATGATTATAACATTAAATTTATAATGATTACATTTTGTAACTCAGTTACAAGTTTTAAATAATATTTTTAAAAAATCCTTATTTTATACCCTTTCAGAAATATTCTGAGAAGTTAAGTACTATTTAAAGTATTTCGCTATTAAAATAAAAGGTGCTCTAATTTGAAATGGACTGAATAGAGCATTAATTATAAATTGACTTATAGTTTTCCATTTAAAAGATGTCTCAAAAGCTAAAATATGTCACATTTGAGAAAATATTTTAGTAAGAAGCTCCATAAATAGAAAAGAAATAATGCATAATTTTAATATTAATAACACAATAAACTTCGATCTTAATTTTTGTAATACTTAACTGAATAAAATCGAATTACCTTAAAATTTTTTTCTAATGTAATTAACGAAAACTTGTAAAAATATTTCATTCAAATTAAACCATTCTGAGCAAATTGTTCTGTGAAAAGTATAACATTTAATTCCGTTCAGAACGAAATGTTGTTTAAAAATGTATTCTTTTCATATACGTAAGACTGAAGTACTGTAGAAAAAGAAAATATATACATTTATACGTTTATTTACAACGTAATTGCAAAATATTTACATCCGATCGTGTCAAAACCCATTGAAGTTAATGGTAAATTACCCAATGTTTTGGTCACCACGTAGGGATCGCCAGTGCCTCAGAGCAAGGTATGGGGGAAACCGGTTAGGGCCACTCCATCTTACTTCCTACCTCCATGATGCAAGTAAACATGAACTGTAAGAATATTAAATAAAAATTGCTAATTCAGTTCATTTTTCAGTCTGATAATTCAAGGGGGGATATCAATTACAGGTTTTTTGAAGTCTCCTCTTTTAGTTTTCACCGCGCAAGATCGTACAAGACCATCACGTCCTTTCAAAACTTGAGTTAGTCGATCGAAAAACCAGAAGGATCGAAACACCAGTGGCGGGAAATTGACTATAACGGCATTGTCCACTACTAAGGCCAGAAGTGATGCCATTTTATTGTGAAGGCATCTAAATGGGCGTCCATCCCGTTACCTCCTATGAAGGGACAGTCAATTTTGCGTCGATGCCTTCTCCGAAGTTCGAACCCGGGCCCTTTGGTATCGCAGTCAAGCTGCCCTAACCACTACACCGTCTGGGCGGCCCAAAAGAACTTAGCTTTGGCAGTTTCTTTAACCATATCACCAACTTTAAGTTTCTTCTTAGTTTTAGGTATGCTGAAGATATGAAAATTTCCTAAATCAAGAAGATATTGATTTTTCCATTTCCCCAAATCTGTTTATAAGTGTTATCTGATACTGCTTTCGTTTTATTAATGATATTTCGTTTTATTAATAATTCGTTTTATTATGGTATTGCTTTCGTTTTATTATGGTATTGCTTTCGTTTTATTTATGCTATATTTTATTTCGCTTATAATTTCGTTTTATTTAGGAATTCGAATGTGATTAAAGACTTACTGTAAATAAATTCTTATATGTTCTGAAAGTCTAGTAAATTACACATTACAGGTGAATAAAAGATTGTGGGATATATTTATATGGAATAAAATATTCATTTGTAGATCATAATTACTTTACCATTCCATCATTTTCCACTTTAAAATTTGGTAAAATATGACATTTCTGTTGGCTAATTTTAAATTTCAAAGTGCTCTGTATCTTTTTCACGTAACTCCTTTTATAGTAATAATGTTCTGCCACATCTTTATAAAGCTGTTATTGCCATCATCAGAATCATTTTTGGTGATGCTAATACACAAGTATCATACAGTTTCAAGGATTTTTTTTATTGATAACAAACCAGCATCGAACTGGTAGTCCATATGGCCCCCTTCCCAAACCAGCAACTTATGATGGAACTCATCCTTTTCCTGGTCAAAATTAGTGCAACAAAATTTAAGACCTCTAAAAATGAATGTGAAACCATATTCAGGATGCATTCATACATTCAATCGCTCATGCTGTTTCTAAGCAACATGATTTTAAGGAATAATATAGCCAATATTTTCTCCTCTTTTTTGGTCTGATTATATGGTTGGATTTCTGAACTGAATTTTCTTGCCTGATGATGCTAGTCTCGTAGTGCTACTCCTGTGAGAAATATATTAACTCTGTGGAAGTGGAAGGTAATTGAACTTTCCTCATACTCTCCACAGCCTTGTATACCCTCTGTCGATTCTGCGAAGACTTCATAAAATACTTCATGTAATTGATAGCACCACTGATAAGAAAGCATTTTCACACGAGAGGAGAATTTCTCCGAACTTCAGAGCATTTTTCTGAATTCATAGAAATAGTTTTACTGGGAATGTCCCATGCTTTTCATATTGTCGGAACCTTGTCAAAACCGTGCTTATCTGCTGTTTTCATCTAATTGTATTGTTTGTTTATTTTTAGGTAATAAGTTTAACGAGGTAAGTTTAACGGAGCACTATATAGTATAATAACTCTATATTCAGTATTCATGTATCTTCATAAAATATTTTATCATTTTTCTTCACTACCATCTTTTTTATTCATTTGATTTTGCAAACTGATGCTAAAAGATTTTGAATTCTACAGTTTTAATAATTTACTTTTTATAAGTATTGCTGTTTATTACAGGCATTGATTATAGGTATAGATAGATTTTATCACTATTTCAATGAAAATTAAATTAAATTCTGTAGATTGCTAGTAATGAATTAGTTCTGGATCCAATGCTCGTTAGGTGTGATAGTATTTTACTTCATATTCAACTTTATCAAAATTTAAATTTAACCAAATGCAAGATATAAAATTCGTCTTACATAATTAATTTTTGTTTGCCTTTTGTTTCCCATAATTAATGATTAGCAGTTTGAGAAATTTGAACTAGCGTTAGTTGCAATTTCGATTTAGAAGTGTAGGTTTGATTTGTAAGTTCTAAGGTAATTTACGTTAGAGATTTTAATTGATTTGTATTTTGAGTAAGAAGAAAATAGTGTATTACTTTTCAGCTCAAAAACGTACGTTTCTTTTAAATTCATAGAAGAGTGTGTGCGTGTGTGATGGGGAGTTCAATACAAGCTGAATCCCGTATTTTTAAAAAGGAATTATGTTTAGTTTATTAGTAAGAAATTACTTTAATTTTTAGTAAAATTTTAACATGATTTTAATTTTTAAAAATGTAAAAAATAAACACCTTATTTTAACTTAGAGGTAACTAAAAGGCGGTCACACTAACTGTAAATTACTAACACACATCTACAATCTCATTACATTATTGAAAATTTACTTAAGTGAATTTGTTGCTATGTGTAAGACAGAGGACATAAATATGTACTGAAAGTTGTATTCAAGAATTTACTGAATGTATTCTGAGATCTAGCTCAATTTCACTGTTTTTCTTACAAAACTGTCCACAGAGACATTTAAAAATATATATGATGATTATTTTGAAATAATCAGTGCCTATTATTACAATATGTATTTCTGAACAGTGTCTGTAACTGTAGTCTCCGATAATACATCATTCATGAGACTGATTTAAAGTATAATATTAAAAGGAGTAACTTCTAAAGTGGTGTTCAAAATTTAAATTGATCTTTAAATATTTTCTCATTAAATTCAAAATTTATTGTAGAGAAAAAGAGAACTATTTCATTTGCTTAAATGTTTATCTTATTTTAAAACTGCTGAGGATTTAATAGTATAAACTATGACTGGAAGATTTCTGAAAATTTCGTTTTGTTTTAATGCCCATATTACTATATTTTCAGTATCTGAAAAATAAATGATATGAATAAAATGAAAAAAGAATCAAAATCCTTTTAAGTTTTTAAGACAAGGCCACTTTTTAAGATGATTTGGTATTTAATATTTCAGTTAAAACGGCTGCAACTAGGAGAATCTAGATATTTAATTTTATCGAATTCCAGAAAGAAGCAACACTGAGAAAGGCAACTAAATTTCATTTTTTAAAATTCAACTCCTCAGGACTGCATAAGTAACTTCTTGAAGAAAAGAACAAGGGAATTTAGGCCTTAGCCTTGTTTTTAAGTATTGCCATAACCTGGCGGGCAAATAAATTTTGGAAACTGGTTTTTCTATAAAGAAAATAAGAAATGTGAGAGCTCAGAGTCATGTAATGAATGGAATTCATGCTTGAAGAGTAATGGAAAAAGTGCTGTAACTAACGTGGATAAGTGATTGATATGTTTTGAGACTATGAACAGGTAGTGGGAGTTTGTAAAGTGGTATATAATATAGGTGGTGGCTTAAAGAGATATGTCTGTGTAGTTTGCAACTAGTGTTATCAGCACATTTTTAATTGTTCAATTTTCAATTGAATATATACTTTTATTTGGAGCATTTTTTTAATGTAAATAAAAATAACTCCAGCTAAATTTTTTATTGTTTATTTTTTTCTCAGAATATATTTGGGGAGCAAACAGTACAAGCTCAATTGCCAAAAGAAGCAACAGAATTTGAAAATGTCACTTTCCTGTGGAAAGATATCTCTATTATGATGAAAGAAGAAAAGCTAGCCTGGGATATCAGTCATAAACCAGGTTGATTCATTTTTACATAACTGATACGTAAATATTTTTAATTTATGTTCTGTTGGGAAGAAAAAAAATATAAATGTAATATGACAGTTGGAAAAACCTCAGTATTGTATTTATATTTCTAAAGTTACAAAAACAAGTGTTTAAAATCGAAATATGATGAATTTGTTTCAATTTGTAAAATTATTTTTAACATTTATTCGTTTTTATAGTCAGCATTTATAATTAAAATAGATTAGGAAAAACTCTGGATACTCTACACTGAAGAAAACTGTACCATTGTCATAAAAACATTGGTAATGATTCCATTTAAATTTATTCATCGATATTTATACATTCCCTTCAACGTAATCCCGTCTGACTGCTCTATGTTTTGTTCAAATTTAAGAAAATGCTACCATGAAGCCCCTTCAGGACTTGCATTTTCTTTTAGAGCATCAGTGGATTGAAAATAGTTATCACCAAGTGAGTTTTAAATGTTAAAATACAGAAAAGCCACATGGCTCCGTATGAGCTGAATACGGAGCTTGCGAAATCGTATTTGTTGAATTTTTGAAAATTCATGAACAACAGTACTATTTCAACAGATGTATTATTATTGCGAAAAATCCATGAGATATCATGTCACGTATCACATTGTTTTATGTGAATTGTTTCACAAAACACTAAAACAATATTCTTTGCTGAAGATTGGCCAGCTAACAGAAATTCATGATGCACTACAGCAAGGTGTCAAACTGGTGGCTTTCGGAAGTAATTTTTGTGACCCACGATGCTCTGAATTAAAATGGAAACAGAACAAAATGCTAAGAGAAAATAGCACTTAAGGGAGCTCAAGGCAATTTCGTGCGGCTCTTGATTCATTCCGAGAAAATAACACAAAAGTGTATAATTAAAATATATTAACATAACTTTCAAATCAATCCCATATCAAGGTGTACGTACACTGCGCGGGAAAAAAAAAAAAAAAAAAAAAAATTGGCACAGTTCTATATCTCCCGTTCTATTGGGCCGATTGACAAAATTCACTTGCGTTCTTCATGTCTCGAAAGCGCGACTTAGGATATATATTATATTTATATATAGCTCTATTCTAGTTATTTTGGCACAAAATCGGACTTTTTCTGAAATAACATACCAATGTTTTTCCATATTACGATTCTACGAATCAAATTATGCCTAAATATGAAATTTTGTAAAATTTAGTGCGAAATTTACGGAAAAATACACAAATTTATGTGAGCGCCTATTTTTTTTTTTTTTTTTTTTTTTTTTTTTTTTTTTCAGTTTGCGCAAGAATTTGGCGAATTTCTTAATATATGGCAATCTATTTTCCTTTCCCTTAGCGGAAAAAAGTGACAATCGTTCCTTTTTACAAAATAATGTCTCTTATATTATATTTTTAATTATAATTGTTATTATTATAAGTAATTTTTTTCTTTTTCGAATTTCATTTTAATTGTTTAAGTTGCATGGCTTCTTTCGAATAACTGTTTTAAAAATTTTTATTTACCCATTCGAACTGCGTGCAAATAAAAGGTTCATCATTTATTTTTTTTCAAATAGTCTTCTTTATAATTTATTTTTTTTTTGTCATATTTATTATTTTAGGTAATTTTTAGACTTTTGTTTCAATTGTTTGTGTTGCGTTGTATCTTCAGATAAATGTTTTAAAATTTTCTATTTATTCATTCGAACTAAGCATTTTAAATATATTTATTAATATAAATTTTCCAGGATTTTATTTTATTTATTTGAATTGCGTTTCTTTTGAAAGAATACTTTGTGTCCCAGACTACGATGCATCTGAAAACGAATAGATTAAAAGGGAAAATACAGTAAAGTACGGTTGACAAGCCTTTCAATGTTCCATTCAGAAAAGACATATAAATGAGAAAGATGTGTAACTGACATTTTAACTTAGGATGACTTGCATATATTGCTTTAAATAGCTTTAACATTGTGCTCATTACTTTACACAATTTTATCATCCTGCATTTAGTTTCTTAAAATGTTATTCATATTTTAGTGAAATATTTTATTTTTGAAATCTCAAGATTCAAATATCATAGGATTAAAAAGTTTTAAATTAAAAAAAATACAAAATTTTATGCAAAAATTTATTTTTTTCTTCTTAATGGCTTGCTCTTTTTCTTCAGGCATTTTGCAAGTATATTAAAAAGCATCCAACTTTTCGAAACATCTTGGTATTTATGACATTCATTTTAAATAAAGTTATCGCCTTCCATTTCATAAAGGCCCACAAACGGCCGAGCGGTAAAGTCGCTGAACACTGGTAGTTTGCTCCGGGGTTCGAATCCCGGCGAACGGACTGGTTACATGGGCGTTTTAGTGTTTTTCTCATTGTAACGTGTATGCCAGTCGGTCTCCTTTAAAAAGTTCTTCACGAAGGCATTCCTCCTTTTAGGCAGATAGCCCTGCTTTGCCGTAACTTAATAATCCATTTCATCACTCTTTAGTCAGAGCCTTTATCAGTCTTTAGAGGCTAAGCATTTTGAAGGCATGAGATGAAAGACTGGTTTCATCAAGGGCAAAACGTCTTTAGGTGACATCCACATACATCACTGGATAAATTCCTGAATATTCAAATAATTCGACTAAGAAATCATGGGATTCTCCGTTTATGATGGTATGATGTTCTATAACGTAATTTAAATTTATTCAAACATATAGTCGAAAACCAGTCGCTCTTCACTTAAATCTGCAATGATACCGTTTTTGTGTTTTCCGTTAGCATAAGCTCAATTGATGGTATTTGCTGGTGTAAAAGTCCAAGTGTTTTCTCTTTGAACACCCAAATTCCTTGAAGTATCCTGAAAGTATATTCAAAAGCATCCAACTTTTCGAAACAACCTTGGTATTTCTGGCAGCCAAATTTCTCCTTCAAATTTTTGCTCACTTTTCTCCCTAATTTTCTTCTTTCCTTCTACATTTATTTTCAGTGCTCACCACAAGAAAATTAAGATTTTTCGATTCTTCACTTTCATAAATTTTGTATTCTTGTCAATTTTTTTAAAATATCAATTACATCAACTGCGTTTCAGTTGAAGACAGCTTTTCATTTTCTAGGCATTTTAACTATAAATAAAGTAAACCGAAGTAAGAATCAATATTTTAATTAAAAGATTTTTTGTTAAATGATAAAGAAATAAAATAGTCCAGCAATGTTTATTCTGTACCAATGAGTAACCCGATTATTATATCGGCTACAAACAATCTAAATCATATTAAAGATCACGGTTTTATACAATCTATAACACGAGAGAAAATTAGCTACTTAAAAAATTCTGTCGAAGAGGATTAATGTAAAAATTTATACTTATATATATAATTTTTAAAGCTGGGACATGACCCAATCTGTCAACGTCCTGTTTCTTTAAAAACATTATGAAAATAAACATCAAACGAACTTTCTCAGGTTATAATTAAAAAATTTTTCGAAAAATTTATAAAAATTATTTAAAAATAGAAAATTTAAAAATAAAACACCAAAAAATGTGTGAATTTTATTTGGAATGAACCTAAATTTCGAAATGTGAAAGAAAAATCTAAAAGGTTTAATAAAAAAAGAGATTCAGAAGTCAATTAACAAAAATCAGCGTTATATTTACAAATTTTCACAGCACTAGTTTCGATGGTTTTACCGAACCACTATCCTCAGCTGCAAAACCGCAAATGAATAAGATAGGAAATAATGATTAGATAAGATAAGGTTAAGCCTGGACAAGAATAAGCAAGTGGCGCCATCTGTTGGTGAAACCAAAATTAAAACATAATTTCTTTAAAGGCCGAAGGCAAAGTTGGATTGGAATTAGGATCGTTAACTAGAACAGAAAGATTTTTATGAATGTGAAATGCCTCTAGAAAATCCAGTTCTCCAATGGAAGATTTTTTTGAATAATTTTAGCAGCAGAAAAATTGAAAGTGTGATTTTCGGACCAACAATGTTGAGCAACAGAAGACTTCTGTGTTTCCTTTTTTCTAACATATGCCTCATGTTCCTTGACGCGAAATTTTAAGGGTCTCTTAGTTTGGCCAATGTAAATTAAACCCCAGTGGCAAGGTATCCTATAAATACCCCAGGAATTCATATCCGGAATGGGGTCCTTGAGTATGGAACTCGGAATTTTATTGATGGAAGAAAAAACAACTCGAAAGTTAAGTTTCTGCAAAATATGTGCAACTTTATAGCTAATTGATGGAAAGAAGGGAATGACAACAGAGTTTTTATAATCTCCTAAAACAAGAGTGTGCCTTTTAGTGTGTTGAGATGAGAATTTTTTAACTGCTTGATTAATAATGTTGGGTGAAAAGCCCCTGTCAATAGCTATTGCTTTTAAATAATTTAGTTCTTCATCAAGGGCTAGTTTGGAGGAGCAAACTTGAAGAGCACGGAAAACATAGGAATAAAATGAAGCTAACTTTTGTTTAGTCGGATGACATGATTTTTAAACTGTGGTGGAAGGCAAACCGATGAAGGTTTACGGTAAACGTAGTACTGAAGTTGGATGTATTACGTGTGACCAGAATGTCGAGAAACGGAAGAGAATTGCAAGTCTCAAGTTCAAAAGTGAATTGAATAGCAGGATCAATAGAATTCATTGTTGAAAGAACTTTATTTAAATCATCTTTATTACCTTCAAACAGGGTAAAAGTATTGTCTACGTAGCGGAACCATGCCGGGAAGTTTACAGTTTCAAACAATTTTGATTCATAATAATGCATGTAGATATCAACCAGGATGGGACTGAGGGGGCTTCCCATGGCTAATCTCTCAGTTCGCTTGTAATATTTATTTTGGAAATCAAAATGTGTTTGTTTCAAACAGAGTTGAGTGAGAGAAATTAGCTCATCAATTTCGATGCAAGAGAAATGAAATTCGCGAAGTCTGGTTTCTAGACATCTTAATGCACCCTCCACTGGGACATTGGTGAATAATGATTTTACATCAAAAAGAAACCATGAGTCAATTACTAGGAGAA